GAGGAGGAGGAGGAGGAGGAGGAGGAGGAGGGGTACTGAAGACCTGTCGAGGGGGCCGTGGTCTGCTCCAGTGACTCCTGGGGTGCGCGTCCGGGCGAGAGCGGGCCTCGAGGGGGGTGCCGCCTCGTGCTTCGCGGCCCGTGCCGGAGGGCCGCCCTCCTCCGGTGCAGGCAAGGGGGTCCCGAGTCAGGCCCCCGGAGACCAGGACACAGGATAAACCAGGGCACGGAAAACCAAGGAAACGACATCTTTTCCTGCAGTGCCACGTTTTTCAGCACCCGTGCATGTTTAGCTTGCTGCACTGCAGGATTCGGGTTTGTGTCCGGGTTTAGAGGGGTCTTGCAGGCTTTTGAGGCCTAAGGTTTTTTGATTGTTTGTTTTGGTGTCTTTCTTGCCTTTAGTGTTTTTTACTTTCTTACTAATTTATGTGATTTTTTTGTTTATTGTTTTTTGTATGGATTTGTTCTTGTCCGGGTTTGTTCTGGAAGTGCTGCAGTGCAGTATTTTGTTCGTGCCGCCGTTTGGAAAATTTGGTTTCGAGGGATGTTGGGTGTCCGGGTCTAGCGTGTCCGGGTCTACGGGGCCCTGACCGAGGCAACCTCACAGACGACGCGTGCCCAGCCGCTGGTCCAGAAAAAGGCGCGGCCTCACCATCCGCTGGTCGTCGAGTTGCTCGGCGGCGAGCGAGGGGGGGGAGAGGAGGAGGAGAAGGCCTGCTCAGAAGGCGGCGGGACTTCTCAGAGGCCCTCCTGCCTTCTGAGAGGTTTTTTTTTTTGGTATATATATATATATATATATATATATATATATATATTCCATGTCTTCGGGGAAGGCTTCGACAATTTGTTAGAAGGCTGCGGGACTCCCGAACCTCGTGAGAAGGCTCGCCCCTTTTTACTTCCCCCCCTCGCTCGGTGCCGAGTTACAGAAGCCGCAGTTGCCCCGCAGGGCCCCGTAGGGCCCATCGGGGAACTTTCAGGGCGGAGTGTCTCTTTCACTGCAACGGAGGGTATGTGTACAGGGTTGCGCACGGACGATATCCGGGACTGTTGAACCCCTCCCCAACATGGGCGAGAGGCAGCAAACAACTCGCAGATTGGGAGATGATGTTGCTGAGCAACGTGGCGGCAAATAATTAAGCATCACCAGTACTTCCGGACGAAGCCGATGCAGGTCACCGCGACGCTACTACGTGATGTTCAATGAGGAGCGCGACGCGACAAGTGCAAATTCCGCGACACGTGTCACGTTGACCTGCATCAGCATCAGGAAGAACCGACGCGCCAGCGAATGTTATTGTTCCTGGACTTCAAGGGCGTTTTTTTTTGTTTTCACACAGGTGTTATCGAGTTCCTCTGCAAGTCCCCCATCACACTTAACGACCTCCTGGAACTGCTGGACAATACCTGATGCAATACAACCTGAGGCAATACCGACGTTTGGATGTAATACCTGAGGCAAGACAACTTCTCTTCGAGGACGACCTGTACGGCTTGCCGTACATCGACAACGACATCGACGAAGAGCACCTCATGGCACGACTGAGAGACGCTCACATTGACTTATGGGCTTCAGCGAGGGGATCCAGGCACCGGACCAAGGGTGCTAATGTTCGATTTTGTTTTTGGCGTCGCCTTCGCGCGCATCGCCAGTTCCACTTCCGAGGACTCGATTGAGCTCGAGATCCACTGCAACACCATTCGCAACAACGGCCAGCAATTCATCTTCGCACATGGGTCGCCAAACAAGCACCAGGCGTGACGGCGGCGAGTGCCGAACAGACGCCGTCTCGTTAGACGTCCGAACCGCATGCGCTACTACAGTCTAGTTCCAGGCCGCGACTACGGCGGCCACACGTTTGAAAATATTGGTACCCAGAGTAGGATCATGTTTCTACTGTTCGGCGCAGGACCACGAAGGAATACATGGCGAAGGAAGGCATCGCCAGCATTCCCAGCACCAACTCCGACCATACTGTGGAGATCCTCGGTTCGCAGACGGCCCCTGGAAACGACATTGCAGCCACAGCCATGCTTACATCAGAAGGGGACCGACATGGATATGTTGAGCAAAGGCCCGCCTGTCAGCAACGCGATGGCCGCATATTATTTCAAGGGACGCAGGCGAACCGCTGGACAGCGTCGCCGACGACAAGGCAGACAGGGCTTCCAACTTCCTGGCGAGAACCCAGGCCGACAGGCAGTCCCGCGAAGTTGCCGGACGGGCGAGGAGGCTGCTTTGCATCCTACGCCGACAGTCGCACGGACCTGCCTGTAGCGCTGCTGAGACTATTGGGCGAGGGCCCGCCGCGAGGCCATTTGGACAGATGCGACCGTCCAAGACTTAACATGGTCGTGGGACTACCTCAGGCTTGACGAGCGACCAACGCCAGCAGGATGTGCTGGGACGATCTGCGCTTAGCGAACTAGACAAGTTCCTAACAACGATCAAAGCTTCGGTGGCCCGGCACCTGCGATGGCAGAGAGACGTAGCGCCCTGGGAGGTGCCGAATGTTCGAGCCGCACCAGAAAGCCGCGTGCCACCGCCAACACCCAAGTTCAACCTGATGCTGCACCCGTGCCGGGCGACTTTCGTCAAGAAGAGCGCGTGGCACGCCCGCCTCGGCAGCCGCCGCAAGAGCGGGTCTCTCCCTGCGAGAGGGGTGCAGAGCGCACCGTGCATGGCGCGCGCCTACCAGTGCCGCACCTACGCGAGGTTGGTCAAGCACTTCCAGGCGACCCCATCGCGCGCGGTGCCATGGGCGACAGCTGCGCCAGCTCTAGTCGTGGACGATGCCAAGGACAACCGCGAGGACATGCGCGTGGCGCAACGGACAGAGCCGGCAGACCGCCTGTTCGCGCACAGTTCAAGTTATTAGACGACATGCTACAGACATGCGGAGAAGACATTCACGCGGCCCTCGGATATATATCACTGGTACCAGCAATCGACCCTGGCGCGCCCGATCCGACAATGCCACGACCTACTGGAGGTCCAACGCGGCTCGCCCACCACCTCTACAGCGGCCACCGGCGGGAGGAGGCTTCCAGGAATGGGCGCGGCAATTCCAGCCGCCACACGTTTCGCCGCCTACGCGCTATCCGTCGACATCGCTAACCATGCCGCGGCAGGCGACTTGAACGCATGGAGCGCAATTGCTTGGGCTCAGCAGATGCGCGACGGGAAGGCAGCGGCGATCGCCGCAGGGGCACCGCAAGAGAACACTTCGCAAAGTGGACGCACCGTGGGGCTTCAAGTACCTGGCGGGCAGCGAGAACGACCGTATCGATGCCGGTGCCAGCTGCGACGCACAACGCCCATGCTGCGCGTGGCCGACGCCGCGGGTGCCCCCGCCGCGATGGGGGCATCCCGAGGCCGTCCACGACTGAAGGCACGTTGCCAGCAGTTGGCTCATACCAAGTACACAGCAACAGCTGCTACTGCCTACCAGAGCCCGCAATTCCACTTGCTATTTGCGTTCAAGTTCCACGCGCGCGCATGTTCTCCAAACCCAAATGATGCAGATGCAACCGTGGTCGCGGCGCACGCCCGCCAACCTTGGGGCGCAATGGGGGCTGGAAATAGCGAAGCGAGGCTGCCGAGACATGCCCTGCGCATGTCCAGGGGATATTGCAGCGTTGCCCGAAGCACAGCGCGCGCGATGGGGCATCTTGGACGCCCCCGACCAGTGGGATACCGAGGACAGCTAACCGAGCCCTACACCCCGCTGGGCCCATACTACGACTTCCAGAGCAGCACCGACTGCATGGCGCATCGGCGGCGGATTGCCTTGGCAAGCCACAGCGACTACTGAGTTGAAAAACGTTCGCATGGCTCACGCCGATCGGGACATGCCCACTGCCGGGCGGCACCTCGACAGCAACTTGAACCACAACTACCAGCTGCGCGAACGAGACGGGCACGGAAAGAATGGGCACAATGCCCAACAGCAGTTCTTGTTTGTCTTGAACAGGACTTGTTGTCCACGCCGCCGCTGCCTGTGTCCATTCGAGACAGAAGGCCGCCTGCCCAACAGCGGCCGCTGTTGGTTTGGGACGACATTTGTTGTTGGGCATTGTACCAATTCTGCCCGTGCCCATTTCGGGCGTCCAGATACCAGGCGTCGCGCGCGCCTGACCCGAGGGGCCATTGGCCAGTCGCGATTCGACAGGCGTCGAAATCGGCCGGAAAGCGAAACGGTATATAGGGCGGCAGGGGCACGCTCGACCAGTGGGAGAACGC